GAGAGAGAGAGAGAGAGAGAGAGAGAGAGAGAGAGAGAGAGAGAGAGCGCTTCGTTTAAAAAAACTCGAGTAGAAAGAGAGAGATGCGATCGATCGGATTCCTGGACCAGGGATTTCAACCCGAATCTATCGTTTGTTGAATGGCTGCAGCACCAATGGTGCTATCCAGGCCATCGACGGATTCCTCCTCTTCAAGTTCCATATTCGAGAATGGGTGCAGCAGGTTTGTCTAGCTTCATAAACGCGACTGTTCTCTCGATCCCTCGAGAAATTTAAACTTCCGAAACAAAACGAGAAAACTAAAGGCACGACTGTCCAATCCCTCTAGGGATGTTGGATTCTAGTAAAAAAAAATCGCCTCTGGAATATTTGCAACTTCTTATATATAGCATTCGATTAGAAAATTAAAGGCACACAAGAAAATTAATGAAAATTAAATCTTTCTTTCTCCAAAAATATTGCAAATATAAAAAATCGATATATGCCATTATGTTGATTGTAGAAAATTACAAAACCTTTTCCTGTATCAGTTCTTTAATACTTACTTTTTAAGAAAATTGCTGGCTAGTATCTTCGTGAACACTCTGTATAATTAACAGGACTAATTACGTCACAATACCTTCCTATACATCATGTTACCTTTAATTTGTCAGAGTAAGAAACAAACAAACAATAACTAATTATTAAATAGATATGGTTAGAAGTTAATTAAAAGCGAAGGAAATTACATGAAAATTATCAGGAACAAGAGGCGACAATCTATCGTGGTTAAAGTTAATAAAGGTAATAGATAATCTGTCGTAGATAGAGAGTTACTCAATCGCTATTTGCGCTACTGATCTGTGACATCAGACTCGATTTGGTCTTGCGAAATTACACCGAATAACTCGAAAGTATTAAATATACAGAACGAACAATATTTTACGTAGTAAGCCTAAGTAATCAAAAAATCGTAAGAACCATGAATCCTTGCACATCCTGTTCTCGAGATCGACAAATTCCTTATCTCAAAGTCTAACAATCCTAAACAGCTCCTACCTACACTTCAAATATACAGCCAGAGATGGGTAATATTTGTAGAGAAAATATTTTAAATACTATTTTAAATAATAGATTCTTCAGAATTCAAATAAAATAGTATTTCAAATTAGATATAAAATTTCAGAAAATAAAATATTTTATTCTGATAATGTAAAACGTAAAATAAAATAATATATTTTGGTAATCTATAGTTAAAGCATAAAATAGAATATTTTCCATAGTTCTTAACCTGAAAATAAACTGTGTAAATGATGTTATGATACACAGATGGAGAAACTATTTCTTGCGATTGAAGAATATTTCTTTTTATCCCTCATTTTATGAAAATTCTTATTAAAGATTCGTAATAGAAGTATTAATGCAGAAGAATTAGTATTTCGTTCGTTTTAGATTACCAAAATACATATACTATACGCTATAATTTAGTAAAATAAAAATATTTTATTTGCTGATAATAAATTAAATAAATAAAATATTCCGAATTATGGCACAAATATTTTCAGTGTTTTTCAAATAAAATATTATTTGAAATATTATCTTAAACATTTTTTATAACAAATAAAATATTTTATTTTTAAAAATACATGCATGATCTGAAATAAAATAATTATTTACTGTTTATTATTTAAAATATGTATTTTACCCAGCTCTGAATACAGCTTGCCAAACAGAACCGTCATTGACCTTGTGCGAAACTTATTCGGTATAACGCCTACGCTTAAAAGACCCAAAGGTGAAATTTTGTTATACAAATTATGGACAGAGATAGTCAAAACTTATTCGTGATACTATAATGTAATATGATAATCACAACTTTCGTTATCCTTCCACATCTAATATAATAAATATGCCATTTCAAACATTTTATTAACGAGATATTTCCATACCATTTATATTTATTGTCGTTATTGGTATTTCATGGTTGTCCAAATATAGCGAAATGAAGAATTTTTCGTTACGGGGAACGTTATAATAATGGACGAAAAATTTGTTATTTTGAAATTTGAAATTAAGGGAAAAGTGAGTTTCGAAAATTATTTGTACGAGTTGGAACGAAAAATGATTATGAACATTTTTGTTCTATGCATGACTTCCAAGTGTCTGGTTTCTGCAAAATATTTCTTCGTTTGTTTCAAATGTCGACGCTAATTAATCTTCTTAGACCGTAAGTATGATAATATCGAAGGAACACGTGTTACTATTCTTATAAACAGTCTAACATCGAGTAAGCAAGTAAGATAAAATTATAAAGATTATAAAAATTACAATATAAATTACATTCACAGTATATAAATCAAGCATTTATTAGCAGGGCAAGGATCATACTTTAGGATCGATCCATTTTCTTTATGTTACATTGTAAAACAACTTTTCTGTGCATCGTTATAACTAGTTTGTGTATTTTATGCGTTTATGACGTACAATAATAAAGGAAACATACATTAAATATATTCAATAACTAATATAATGATATCTTCATTTCATTTTGCATAAGTGCACATACCATTTGATTATATTTAGCACGTGTTTATTATATTAGTTTGTGTCATAAAAGCATGAAATAAATAAACGGTCGCGCTTTCAATATTTTCAATTTCGCTATTTATTTGTTCTGCATTTTCCATGTAATCGATATGCACTGACGAGTATAAAAATAAAAATAGTGGAAAAGTAATGCGTTATTGCAGATATCGACTCGGGACATTCCGAACAGCAGTTGGATATATTGCCACACCTTTATTTGTAGTTCCAGTGCTTCGCAAATGAATACATAGGAGTACATAGTCCACCCAACATTGTAACTTCCGTTATTTATCTTTTACTCGTTATTCGAAATGTTTAGACAAGAATTTTGCTTTATCTCTGATACTTGATAGTCCATGCAATAGAAAAGCAATTTCTATCAAATTATATTGAACAAAATTTGCCAAAGTGATTACATTTAAAAAGTTGATTTTCTTTATTTTTTGGAACTTTATATTGTGGAATGTCAATTTGAATTCTACATGTAACAGCAAATACCGTGGGTGTAGAGAGTATTCGTACACCGATCAATTTCCAAAAATTGTAATTTATTAACTTATTTGTTATAAACAATGACATTCTATATATTCTCGGAAATCTCTGGAATATATAGATTACAAAAATAAGCTATTTATGTAATTTGCGAAATTAACAAAAAGAAAACAATTAATCGATAAAAATATTGAAGCAATAAGTATTCGCACAATTGTTTAATTTTTAAAACTTCTTTAAAAAAAAAAAAAAAGAAATTTACATTAATTTATGAGTATATAATATTTCCTTCGTGGGATTTCCTTTTGATTTTATAATTATTGTAACTCTTCTAAGCATCAAATTAACTAAATTATTAGTTATTCGAAGTGGAATCTTCTTCAATTCCTCTATTAGAACCATTTTTAAAAGTATTAGGTTGTCCCAAAAGTTTCTTTCGTTTTATTAATAATTAATATATACACAATATTGTATGTTTTATGTTCACTTCGCTTCATTACTGTTACAGCATCAATGTCTAAGAAATTAGATTGTCTATTTATATAAACACTGAAAATAATTGAATGCAACTCACGAAAAAAACTTTTTGGACAACCTAATACTTTATTGGAAATTTGATGTTTTCTAATTCGTACGGAGCAATAAACCAATGTGTTTACGTTACAAACTCTACTGTAAACGGTTCGTCATAAGAATCGTCCAAATACTTATTGCTTCTATACTTTTACCCACTTTTCGCATGTTTTCGTTAATTTCACAAATTATATTAACAACTAGTAAATGTTGTTTGGACTATATCTATCTTAGAGACTTCCGAGAATATGTAAAATATCATTGATTATACAAAAAGAAGTTAAGAAACTACAATTTCACAGAAAAAAATTTTTTTGGGAAATTGCTCGGTGTACGAATACATTCTACACCCACTGTATGTTAAATCAATAAATCAATTTTTTACTGTTTATTTTTAATTATTTTGAAAATTTTAAATTGACTTACTCTTAAACCTAACGTGACTTAAAGTGCCTAAAAAAAAAAAATTCATTCATCTTACCGGCCCGTTTAACAATTGCTGCAGCCTTTCCTGAACGTTCTGGCCTTTCTTGGGTCTCATCAACAAATAAATATTCTTTATTCCGGGACAAGATCTCAGTAGCTTCTCGACGAGGACTTTGCCCATGAATCCAGTGCCGCCAGTGATGAAGATAGACCTGTCCCTGTAGAATTCCTTCACGGACGTGGATGGGGTGCTGCTCAATGTACTCATGTTGACGTTCGTTTGTGAAACCGAATAATCCTTAATAAGTTTTCTTCCCTTGGCGCGGCGGTTTAAAAGCTTTTCGCGTAATAGACGCGGTTTTCTCTTTATCTTTTCTTCACGTGAAAGGTCTTCGGGTTCGGAGAGTCGTCGCTCACCGGTTCGTTTTACTCTTCGGCTTATTCTTTGGTCTCGATTCGATCTCGTTTCGTCGCTACGCGTGTATTCTCCGGTTCCTCCGTGTTTCACTTTTACTTTTTTCCTTCGGTTCGTTTCGCTGTACAGTGGAAGAAATTCCCTCAGAGATGGGGAAACAGACTTTGAGAAAGATGCAACGAAAACTGGCACACGTTCACGCCGTTCCGGGTTTTTCCAAGCGGGCTGCAAATGGATTTAATTTCTGCTGGATTCATTTCGTGGCTCCTGCGACCACAGCTTTTACTCAGCTGGAAATAGAGAAGAAAAAGGAGAATTAGAATCACCGGTAACCCGTTTCGCCCTTATCTCGCGATGGAATGAAACGATTTATGCGACCGTTCCACCTCTATGACTTTTTCACCGTCCGACTTTCCAACGACTCGACGCTCAAGTCTCGTAATACTGATTTTCCAACGGTTCTTATCGGTAATTTTCTCTGACTCGTCGTAATGGCGTGTCCTCGACTGTATTCGCCCAAGTCTGATTCAATTTTTCGGAAACTATCCACAAAAATTTCATTTTATTCGACCTGACTGCTGTTTTCTGTATGCGCATCGTTTTGTACGCAAACGAAACAATACTTGGAAAAAAGAATTTTTCAAGAGGTCCCTTAAAATTCTGTTTTCTAGTAAAACACGATTATATTTGATTTTTATAATTGAATCAAATATTTTTATTTCAATAATCCGAAGCATGACGTGAAATATTTCCACTTTGTATTTTAAATACGCCTTTCAAATATTCCATAATAACGAGCACAATTACGAGGGAATGATACGGATAAATATAAAAAAAAAAAAAAAAAGAGAGAGAGAGAGAGAGAGAGAGAGAGAGAAATAATATAACGCAAGTAATTAACGTTTAAATGCATCTCATGTCAGAAAATACAATAAAATATTCATCGATAATGAAAAAAACAGTTGCAAGCAGACAATTATATGCATTCATACGAATTTCAACATAGATTCTGATTTCTAAGAGGTAAGAATAAATTTTAATATATTATATGCTTCTTCGTAAATGTCATCGATACAGAGATACTATTGTACTGTATGCGATCTATGCAAAGACAACTTAGTTATAATTGGTATATTAATAAGCAAACTGGGGATTTTATGCATTTATGATGTTCACTACTATATGGAAAACACATCACTCCACATGATGTATATTGAACAGATTCTATTAACCTATTCACAGGTAAATTAAGATGTTTAATAGAAGTATCCCGTCTAAGTTATTCTTATGATAATGAACAGTACTAATGGACTTGTTACTTTGTACAAAAGTATACTATTACATGAAATTTATATTTATCCCATTTAATAAGTCCTCACTCAAAAGGCTATAAATTTATTTCGTAAGAAATCGCAATCAATCTAAACTTGCAGCTCAAAATATTATACGAGATATCTCGCAGTCGACAGTCTTGGAACATGTACACTTACGACAATATATGAGTTGTTATCGAGATATTTAATGGTTTCCATTTGAACTAAGTTAAAAATATAAGCAAACGCTAATCAATTCGAGCGATGTTTCTAACATTATACGCCTTTTAAATTTGATTATAAAATAGTAGTTATTAAAATTATTTAAAAAATAAACGATTTTTGTTTAGCTACAAATGGACTTATACTAATTTCAAAAATAACATATTATAAAAAATAAAAACAAGAGGAAATTTAAGTCCATATTTTTATAGACATTAACTTCACTGAAATGGATTTTTTAATGTAAAAAATAATAATTAAAATAATGACATGACCACATTAAATATTTTTATTTCAACATAAATTAGGTTATAACTCTCTCACACAATAATACCGTTATCTTTTTTACGATGTTGTTTTTCAGGCACTAGCACTAGCTAGAAGCAGTGTACACTGAAGTCGTAATAATCGATAATAATTGCAATCAGAAAGTTGTTTTAATTACAATTATTAGGAATGGACTTGTTCCACATAAAAAAATATTTTTGTGATTACTTTTCATAGCCAAAATTCTCTTGTTTATGAAAAAATCGTGCTCCATTGAATTTATGATTATAAATATGAAGAGAAAATATCTATATCTTACTAAAATTACTGTTAATTCATTATTTTTTTAAAATGGACTTATTCCATTTTCAAATATCGTAACGACCACCAGCTCATATATCGTAAATGCCAGTGAATTGGTCGATTAATATAATAATAGTAATATTTCATTTTACATAAATACGTACGCCTTTTTGTTAGTTTTAGTATATATTTGTCACGTTCTCTGATATCATACAGTGGGTGTAGAAACTATTCGTACACCGATCAATTTCCAAAAAAACTGTAAAATTGTAATTTATTAACTTATTTTTTATAAACGATGACATTTTACATATTCTCGGAAATCTCTAAAATAGATAGATTACAAAAAAATAGCTATTTATCTAAGTTGCGAAATTAACTAGAAAAAAACAATTAATCGATAGACATATTGAAGCAGTAAGTATTCGCACAACTGTTTAATTTTTAAAAATTCATTAAAAGATAAAAGAAATTTACATTAATTTATAAGTATATAATATTTATAAATTCCTTTTTTTTCCTTTTGATTTTATAATTATTGTAACTTTTCTAAGCATTAAATTAATTAAATTATTAGTTATTCGAAGAGGGATCTTTTTCCATTTCTCTATTAGAGCCATTTTTAAAAGTATTTTACTGGAAATTTGATGTTTTCTAGTTCGTACGGAGCAATAAACCAATGTGTTTACGTTACAAACTCTACTGTAAATGGTTCGTTATAAGAATCGTCCAAATACTTATTGCTTCTATACTTTTACCCACTTTTCGCATGTTTTCGTTAATTTCACAAATTATATTAACAACTAGTAAATGTTGTTTGGACTATATCTATCTTAGAGACTTTTCGAGAATATGTAAAATATCATTGATTACACAAAAAGAAGTTAAGAAACTACAATTTCACAGAAAAGTTTTTTGAGAAATTGATCGGTGTACGAATACATTCTACACCCACTGTATGTGCATAAAATTCGCAGTTCGTCAATGAATCATTACCAGAAATACCCCTTAACGCGTTTATTTAAAATTCTAATTTCCAGACACGCAAAACACGATCACGGTATTCCTTTATGGCTAGAAATCCATTCACTAATTCTCGTCGCAGCCCAAAACGAATCCAAAATAGCTAATACTGGATTTGCACAAGAGGTCGACGCACCGTGTCCGTAAATAGGGATTCCCACGGAGTCGAAAACCGTTGGAAAAAAAAGAACTCTCCCGGAAATTGGCTATGTAGCCTGATCACATCGTAGCCCGGAATGTTTTCGTCCGCACACGAGACACGTTTTACACGAAAAGAACGAGGGAACGCTATCAACCGGCTTTCCGCCGTATCTTTGCCCCTTGCGTGGTGTAGATCCGCTCGATAGAAATTTTTCTCAATAGAATTCCACGTAAGTGGCGAGCCCATTTTTCAAAGTCAGCTCTATCCTTAAAATCTTAGGCCACTTACAGTACATTACATCTTGTACATTTTTAAATTAAAGAAAAAGTACTAATTTTTACTTAACTTGTATATTTTTGTTTATCAATATTATTCTACAATGTACTCTTCTTAATTAAATGAAAATAGTATAAATTCAAAGGAGAATTTAATATTTAACACTCCTTTGAACTTCGTGATAGCGTCAACTCTTCTTGAACTACTTTCACGTAATTTTTTTAATTATTTCACTTGGGATGTTTTGCCATTCGATCCGTAATACCTCAAACAGTATTACTGTGTATCAACCTGTTTTGTGCTGAACTATCCTGTATTGAAAATGTAATACTTTACTTTACTTTATTTTATCCCAAGAGTTAATTGAGCGTTTAAACATTTCTCTACCCGTTTGTACACATTTTTTATTATAATGTTGTGTGGCAGTTATACCATTATCGCGCAGTTACCTTATATCTTTCATTTAATAATATATTGTGACGATTCGGCGATAAAGCACATTCACAATTTTGAAATAATAAAAGCTACCCTATACCGTGGAAAATAAAATAACACGAATGCTTTAAAAGTGCAGCCGCTGCAAGTACGCATATTGCAAGATATGAAAGTGTCCCATTTCTTGTAGGTAATAGCAAGAGATATTCTTTTTGACTTAAATAAAGCAGTGTATTAAGGCATCGATCCTTAAACTCATTAACACGTTAAACACAATGTTACCCATGTATAGACGGCAAGATTCTTCAATTAGGAATTGAAAAAAAAAATGAATGCTAAAGGTGAGTTGTTCAAGAAAGTAATACCAGAAAATAATATCAAAGATATGTCAAATGTCAGCTTATTCAGCTTTCGATTGTCTCGAAACCTGAAACTTGAGCCTCGCGGAAATTTTCACGTGCGTTAGTCTGGCAGGCGACCCGTTAATTCGACAAATTCGCCCATTTAACATTGCGTGTTACTCTGAAAATAATTTTCCCGCAAACTTTGGTAATACGTGGATACGTTTCGAGTTTCTCTCGAATTTCTCCTGGACAAACGTCCACTGGAAGGGAAGTCTTTAAATAGAAAGCAATCAATCGATTTCCATACTTTGAAACGACGAAGTTTACGTAAGCCGTGTTACTTTTTTTTTTTGCGACTGTTCGATGATCCGACCCAGAGACATTGAAATACTAATCGTATCGACGACCCTAGGTCGGGACAATTTGTATTCGTCGCGGGAACACTGATCGATGGCGAGATTCGTCGTTAATGAGTTTCACTCCTTGGAAGGCGAACGGAGGTTGCAACTGATGAGATCCTCGAAATGAGGCGAAATTGCGCTACTCTGACATTGGTCGCCTTCGATTATGCGAATTAGGAGCACTTACGTTAACCGATTATGCGCGGAGAACCTTCGCCGAAGAAAAGCACGACGGAGAATATGAAGAAGCGCTTTGCATGAACGACATCATTACGTGCGGAATATTGTACTGCTTCGCTTCTGAGGTGACCAAGTACTCGTGTACTTCGAGGATCATGTTTCAGTAGTCGAGCAACTCGACTATTTCAAGTATTTCAATACCGTAAACCCCAATGTCTGTAAATATTATATATTATTTACAGAGTATTCCAAAAAAAAATGTATACACAGTTTGAACAAGCAGGACTTCAATTTGGATTCATATATAATTAATATTTAAATTGCAAACTTTACTAGTTGAGTTTTTTCATCATCTTTTAGTTATTTCTAGAGAATTAAAAGACG